GGGGCAGGTGGTGGAGGACTGAACCCTCAAGGGTTTAGGGTTTAGGGTTTAGGGTTTAGGGTTTAGAGTTTGGGGTTTAAGGTTTAGGGTTTAGGGTTTAGGGTTTGGGGTTTGGGATTTAAGGTTTAGGGTCTAGGGTTTAGGGTAATAGGGCCTTAATAATTCGAATAGGGTTTGTGGGGTTCCTTCTTATAGTTGCAGTATGATCTTCCCCAGGTGGTGGAGGACAGAACCCCTTTTGGAGTCTTGGGTTGGTGGGGGTTTAGGGTTTAGGTTTAGGGTTTAGGGTTTAGGGTTTAGGGTTTAGGGTTTAGGGTTTAGGGTTTAGGGCTTACTTGGAGACCCTAAACCCTAAACCCTGGAGGTTCATGGGACTTAGTAACTTAAAGGGTTCTTTCCGGGGTTCTGTAAGAAGTTCTGCAGGGGCTTGGGGTTTAGGGTCTACTTAAAGGTTCACGGGACATGATAAGTACAGTTTTAAGTATTCGTGGTTTAGGGTTTAGGGTTTAGGGTGTATCTTAACTGGGCTTAAAATCAACTATCAGTATACTTACTTGAGTTATAACCCTAGTCACCTGGTTAAACAGTCCCTATGGCCTGAACTGCCAAATCCTAGATGTCACACCATATCGCCTAAACTCTAGGGCCTAAGCCCTAAACTCTAAACTCCAAGCCCTAAGCCCTAAATCTCAAGCCCAGACATCACCTGTTTTTGTTTTGGAAGAAAACCAGCAAACAGCCTAAACACAACATGAGGACCCTAGACCTTTTCCTTTTCAACGAAAAAACCTAAGCCCTAAACCCTAAACCCTAAACCCCCAAACCCCCAAAGCCCCAAACCCCCAAACCCCCAAACCCCTAAACCCTAAACCCTAAACCCTAAACCCTAAATCCCATGCAAGAGCCCGGAAGGATCTCCAGTCCGCGGCCTCCGGCGCCGCGGCGATGGCCAGCGAGGCGGCTTCGGCGGCGAAGGCGGCGGTGAAAGGCGACGACAGGGGCACCTCTAAACCCTAAGCCCTAAACCCCTAAGCCCTAAACCCCTATACCCCTAAACCCCTAAACCCTAAACCCGAAACCCTTTTTAGGGTTTAGGGTTTGGGGGTTTAGGGTTTAGGGTTTTCGGGGTCCTCAACTCTAAACCCTGAACTCTTAACCCTAAACCCTAAATCCGGTTTTTGAAGGGATCCGAGGGTTCCTTGACAGGGATCTCGAGGGTTCCTTTACAGGGATCAACAAAGGCTTCGAAACGGGATCTACAGATTTAGGGTTTAGGGTTTAGGAGGGATGCCTTGTAAGGGTTCCACAGGGGCTCCTTTAAGGAATCTACAGAGGTCTCTACACGGGATCTATAGGGGCCATACAGGGGTTCCTTTTAAGGGGTTCCTGAACGGGTTCAGGGGTTTGGGGCTTAAGCGGCTAGGGTATTTTGGGGTTTAGGGTCGAGGGTTTTAGGGTTTTTCAAACAGTTTCCAGAAGGTTTTGAGCCCTAAACCCTGAACCCTAAACCGTTTGGGGTGTCGTTGTTTGCTTTAGGCCTTTGGTTTTCGGGGTTATCCTGCAACTCAGATGCGGCGGTGACTGAGCACCGTGGACAAACTTACAAGCACTGTCGACTTTGCAGAAACCAGAGGGCCTTCAATAGGTCTACCTAAACGAAGGGTTTAGGGTTTAGGGTTTCGGGTTTAGGGTTTAGGGTCTAGGGTTCCTGAACGAACTAAGCCGTAACTCCGAAACCCAAAGCTCAAGACCCTCAAGCCTGAGCGCGAAGAAACCCGAAACCCTAAACCCCAAAACGCCTGAAGCCCTAAACCCTAAACCCTAAACACTTTTTTGGGTTTAGGGTTTAGGGTTTAGGGTTTTAGAGATCTGAACCCTAAAAGCCTAAAACTTTGAGACATCTCCGTGCCCCCGCCCCCCCTCTCCCAGGAGAGGGCGATGCCGCTCCCACCGAGGGCCCGGGTGAGGCTGCGGAGGAGCCTGAGCTTCGTTTATGAAGGTTTTGTGTTTAGGGTTTAGGGTTTAGGGGTTTGGGGTTTAAGGTTTAGGGTTTAGGGTTTTGTTATTATGGTTTTCACCCGAAACCCAAAACCTTGGAGGTTTCAGGGCAGTTTGCGTTTTTTGTCATGGTTTTTGGAAGGCTTATAACACATGTTGAAAATCGTGAAAGGCTTTATGAAGCGTTTTCTTGTAACATGCTCAATCGCTACCCCCTAGTATTAATCGGGGGGTCCCCCCAATGAAAACTCGGAAAGTATTTTGATTAATAGGGGGTGTTCTCATCTCTGCTGCCACTTTTGAGGGGTCGTGCTCTTGCTCCTGCTCTGGCTCTTGCGCCCGCGCTGGATTTTGCTCCTGCTTCTGCTGCATCTCTTGCGCTTGCTCCTGCTCTTGCTGTTGCTCCTGCTTTTGCTCCTGCTCTTGCACTTACTACCGCTCTTGCTTTTGCTTTGCGCTTGCTGCTGCTCCTGCTGATGCTCCGCTTTTGCTCTTGCTCCTCTTGCTCTAACTCCCGCTCTTGCTCTTGCTCTTGCTCTTACTGTGCTGTAAGGGTATTTGGAGCCCTGAACCCCTGCCCCCCTAGTTCAGAATAGCTTTGAAAGGGCAGGGATGGTTTCTGGATGATTCGGCCCAATCTGTTTTTATTATAGGGGGGGTTTAATAAAAGGGGGAAGTGATTATAGCAACCCCTTCGAAACAACCTGGAGGGCTGTGTGGCTTTTGGTCCTGGCGAAATTTCGTGGTTTCGAGTTTGCGGCTTTGCAGCTACGAGCTTAGGTATCGAGGCATTGCTACATGTAAAATAGAGGCCTGAACAATCAGAAATAGTCTTCATAAGACCAAGCAAACTTTTTAAGGCTCTTAGTTTATGCATACTCTGTCGTTATGCATACTCTGTATGTAAGTTTGGAGGAAATACGCGCATGCATACATGCACAAGGAACATGCACAGAATCGTGTGGGGCTAGGGCTAAAAGGTAGTCTCACTTTGCTCGCCATTCAGTTCCTAAACCCTAAACCCTAAACCCTAAACCCTAAACCCGAAACCCGAAACCCTAAACCCTAAACCCTACCATCCGAGGCCGCCAGTCCTTCTCCAGAGGCCACCGCGCCAGAAGCGGCAGCCGAAGGCGCGAACCCACCAGCGGAGGAGAAAAAGGAAGAAGCCGCCGCCGCGGCACAGGATGCTCCGCCGGAGACCACCGAGCCTCCCAGCGAAGAGAAGAAGGAGGAGGCTGCAGCTGAAGAGAAGAAGGAGGAGGCTCCAGCTGAAGAGAAGAAGGAAGAGGCTCCAGCTGTGGATGCACCGGGGGAAGCTCCGGCGGAAGCAGCGCCGGAGAAGAAGGAAGAAGAGGCCGCTGGGGCAGCACCGGCCCCAGCCGAGCCCGCCCAAGCCGAAGCGAAGGACGAGGTGCCCGATGCTGCAAACGCAGCGGCTGAGCCGGGCGTGGAGGAGAAGAAGGAGGCAGATGCTGCGTGACAGCCCTTCTGTGCACAGACCCTCAGGCCTGTCCGTATCAACCGGAAACCTAGCTCACCAAACCCTACAAGCCCGAAGCCTTGGCCCTAAACCCTAAACCCTAATCCCTAAACCCTAAACCCTAAACCCTAAACCCTAAAACCCTAAACATCCCTAACTCGAAACCCTAAACCCTAGCCCTACATCCCCAACCCTAAACCCAAAGCCCTAGCCCTACATCCTTACATAACCCGAAACCCTACTTGGAGGGTCGGGAGACTTAGTAAGTAGGTAATAAGTAGACTTATAAGTACCCTAAAAGGGACCCTGATTGGGGTTATAGTACTTATAAGTCCATAAAATAACCATTTACTAAGTCCCCCGGCCCTCCAAGTGACCCCCTAAACCCTAAACCCTAAACCCTAAACCCTAAACCCTAAACACTAAACCCGAACTTCCATTTGAGAGAGCCCGGAGCCTTGCTCCGGGCGTCAGAGGAAAGAGGGGTAAGGCAACCCATGGGGGCTTTAGGGTTTAGGGTTTAGGGTTTAGGGTTTAGGGTTTAGGGTTTTTGGCAACCCATGGGGGCCATCCAGTGCTCCGGAATGTGCAGTCGGCGACCCTGACTACGGTTTAGGGTTTAGGGCTTAGGCTTTAGGATTTCGGGTTTAGGGCTTTGGGTTTAGGGTTTAGGGCTTTGGGTTTAGGGTTTAGGGCTTTGGGTTTGGGGTTTCGGG